ACAAACACATCACTGAAACAGTCATGACCCTTCAGAGACTGTTAGTAATAGTTCCTTGCTCTCCAAACATCTCGAAGCCTGCGAGCCGTGTCCCAGAAGCTCTCCCATTTGAGAGGAAACTGTGTCTGAAACTATTGTTTCTAAACTGAGTAATTCCCTCCTTCTGCAAACACTTCTCCTGGCCCAGGGTCTTTTTTGTATGTTCAACAATGTACTTTCATTTAAGTGAATCAGGAATCTACCTAGAAGCTGTTTATTTTCTGCCAATCCTGAGATTTAATGGCCCTCAGACCCTGGGTTCTATTTAACTTCTGGATAGTCCTAGTCAACAACAATAATGATCAAACTGATTAGTGGGAACATTCTCTTTAAGGCTAATCATTAACTCCTCTCCTCATCACCCAGCTTTTAATACAGCACCACTCCCTGTAATTGTAACAAGGTGGTATGTTAAGGACAGGAATGACGGGACAGGCCACTGCGTTGTAGTGTGACCAGGTCTTCCTGCCACATTAGCCCAGAGCCCTGATGAAGAGCGTGGCTTCTAGGCTGGCTCCTCTGAGCAAGTTGGAAGCAGTTATTACCCAGATGGATGCATCTACATTTCAGTGACAGAGTACTGGATGTCATATTTTAAAGGCATTTGTATGGACTTTAGATGACTCTGCACTAAACTAACTAACTTGCACTGTGTTTTGTACAAAGTGTTCAAATCTGGCATAAATAGCCCTCAGAGCCAAAGCAACATCAGTCACTGCTTTCATCAGCTGGAGTGGCTCTCCTAATGACTGTGTCATGTGCATGCTGGCTGTGTATGAGCAATGCCTTCCTCCCGGTGCTCAAACTTCAAAAGCAAAACTTTCAGAGAGATGGCTGGTTATCTAATTACTGCCTATCCCAAGGCCAGACCTTACTAGCTACTTAGAATAAAGCTAGCCTGTCAAGTACGGACCAAATCTATTGCAGTTGCTTCATTCTGTCTAGTCTGCTTGCCGCTCCTGGTTCCAGAAGCAACCATTTCTTCCTCCATTCATTAATTCAGCTAGTCAATCAGTAGGGGGTTTACAGAGATAATATCAGTACAGTTCATAGCCTTTGGGCAAGTTCCAAAAGAACAGTAACTTGCAATCACTGCCACCTGCCGCCTGCTGAGGTATTAGATCATTTTGCCCACAAATACATAGATTGCAATACTATCACACAGATGAGACAACTGCAGTACAGATGCTGGATCTTCCTTGAAAGCTACTTCAGTCAAGCAAATCTGTCTGCATCCCAATTTCACTCTTTTTGCATAGAACTGAGCTTTCCCTGAATCTAGGTTGGGAAGTAACCCCTCTCCAGGTGCCATGTTAGAGAGCAGTGGAGTAGCCACCACGCAGCAAACACAGACGAGAAAGTAGTTATTTTAGTTGGAGACAAGATTCTTGGCTGTGGAGTTGTCCCGGCTGTTATACAGGCCCAGATGGTCATGATGTAATGTGGCCTGTGGGAATGTATGCAAGCCAAAACAAGTGGGCTCCTGGCCACTCCTGGGTTTGGACAGTGTGCTGGAGACCCAGTAGAGACATTTGAAATAACATTCAGGAACTTTTCTCTCCTAACTTGAGTCACAGACATCTCTGGAGTGATGTCCTTTGTTTTATGATACCTATCGGCATTATTTGAAACGTTCATCCCCCAAATGCCACAAGAAGAATGACATGACAATTTGACATTCTTTCTCACCCCCTCCAGGGCCCTGGAGTTTCGGCTGTCTGCACCAAGGCAGTATGTGGGTGTCTGTGGAGCCTTTGTTGTTCAAGCCCTTTGGCGCAGAAGACAGAGTGACCGCTACTCTGTGGATGCCTTCTTTACACTTAACTGTATTTCAGTTTTGTTTCTCCTGTCTTTGAAAAAATAATGTACACAGGTTCTGATATAACATAAATTTGGCAACGTAGGGCAATCCTAAAGCAGTCTAATCTGAAGTATTCTCGTTTCTTGTGGTTTACATGAAAAACATTACGCAATGGGAGTGATCATGAACAGACTGAAATTATTTAAGAGAGTTAATTATTTGCCTGGCAGTAGAGAATCTTAGTTTTAGCTGAACACAAAACAAGCCAACCTCAACACACCACACCAACACATGTGGAGTTTCTCCCCCATTTTCACTTCGGTACTAGATCACAAAAGGTGGAAGGTGCCGGGTACTAAGATCCCCTCAGTGGGAACACGATGTTGATCACCATTATGAAACAAAATTATATGCAACATTATATTGTCATAACCATGTTAAACATGCAGTGCTGACATATTATAGAGCATTAAAGTAAGATGTTCATAATAAAATATTAATTGTATTAATGTATCAATATTAATAAAATATTAATTAATTGGTGAGATATTAAGCCATCAGAAGTTTCTGTGAAATGCTATGGGAGCATAAGCTGAGCCTACAGCATAATATAAAAAATACTCTCATTTTATGCTCATTTTGACAAAAGCTTCTGAGGCGTAGCTTCCTCAGGTAGCCAATTCTAGTTTGCTTCTGTGTAAATTCTGGGTTTTCTTCCATTCTTTGTGGTAAGGAATCTGTAGTGTGTGCTTTTCTGGAATTCCCACATGGTGGGATAAGGCTGAAGGAATGATTCTTCTAGCATTTGGAAGAAGCAGCCAAGGCCACATTTGTTCATGTACAAAGCAGTTGTACTGAATGTCCAGAAGGCAAGGCTCTAGGCTAACACCAAATAATCCTGTTTTCCTCACTCCTCCTGAAGGAGATAGACAGATCAAAGAGGTCTTTGACTGCAGTTCCAACAGCTTGGCAATCAAAGATTTATGGGAGGTACATTTTAACTGAGCCATTTCATGCTGAGAAATAGGTTCAAATATTCTCCTTTAACTACTAAAACCTAACCTCTGTGATGAGAAAGAAGCCATAACATCTATGAGAAGCTCACTCAAAACTACTGTATTGATCAGCAAACCTAAGTCCAATTAGGACTGTTGATCTAAAAAAAAAAAAAGAAATTCAGATTGTGGAACTGTGCATTAATATTAGAAATCTTCCATTTTAACTGCATTTCTTCATCTCATAGCTGACATATTACTTTCTTTCCATCTCAGTAACTTTACATGACACAAGTTTATGTTCATCAAGTTTTCAGTTCCTTTTGAAACACCTCAGTATCTGTCCCTGCTCCTAACCACAGAAAAAGTATTGTGCAGTAAGGAGTTTTACCATAACAGTCTTTCATCCAAAAAACATGATGGCAGGGAGGTCAGCAGTGTGGTATCATGGATAAAGTCACCACCTGTGACAATGATGCCCATATGGGTGTCAATGCATATCCCAGCTGCTCCACTTCACATTCTACTCATAACCAGTGGCCTGGAAAAGGCAAAGGAAGGTTGCTCCATTACTTGGGCTTCTGCTGCCCACATGGAGACTCCATTGCAGCTCCTGGACCACACCTGCAGCTTGGCCTCACTCCAACTTTTGCAGACACTTGGGGAGTGAGCCAGGGGATGCAAGATCTCTCTCACGTGTGTCTGACTCTTCACTCCCCTGTGTAACTCTGCCTTGTGAAACACATATTTGAAACAACAACAATAAAATGACAGAATTCTTTTTATTGGAAGAGTTAAATGACAGTTTTATAAGTCCTTTCAAAAGCAGACTAATTGCAATGAATTGAACATAGTACTTGCTTGTTCTGCCTTCTGTGTCATTTTACCAATCTAAAACCTTGGGTTGTTTGTTTGTTTGTTTGCTTTAATTGCTTTGGGAATTTGTGGCAAATCTCAGTGGGAAGTATGTTTTGCCATAAAACTGCCTGAAGTGATCTAGTTATAAAAAAGTTGTTAGAGCCACACTGAGCTCTTCTCCTGACTGTCTGCAGGAAGGCAGAAGTCACAACTTAACAGCCCTAGCCATTCTTGTACTTTGTAGTTTCCTTTAATTCCTGGACGAGTCCAAGCGCTCTGTCTCACTATAGAGTTCTGAAAGTTCTCTCTTCCTCACGCTGTCTCTCAGAAGCCACTGGTGGAGGTTTTTGTTTGTTTGTTTGTTTGTTTTTTAATGTGTGTGTGTGTGTGTGCGTGTGTGTGTGTCAAAGGCAGAGAGAGAGAAAAATCATCAAGAATGAAATGAAGGGGCAGTCGTCTGGTGTAGTGCTTAAGATGCACCGAATGGACCCTTCGTGAACCAACCTGGAATGAATCTGATCTTAGAGACTGGAGAAGGAGGAAATGATTCAACTCCTGCCACATGCCAATATATCCCCCACACAGTCGTATTACTTTTAAAGGAAAACCTAAATGGTTGCTTTTATTCTTTTATGACTCTGGAAACTGAGATCAAATGACTCTCCCAAAGCCTTTATTTACCCAGCAAATATTTGCTGTGTATCAGGAACTACTGCAGCTGCTATAGAAACAACAAATGATCAGGACACAATTCAACCTTTATGAAGCTCACATTTTAGTTAAGTATTTGTTGAAACTATTTTTGATTATAACTCACATGAGAAAATATACATATTAAAATCACATACACACATACATTATATAAATACAAATCAATCTTTACAAAGTTCATGGAGTGATTTTTTTTAGAAAACTGCATGAATTTCAAAACTGTTTTGTAAAAACAGTTCTTCAAATATCTGAAACTAAATCTTTGCATACATGGAAACTAATTGCAGGCAGGGGATTCTCTGCTAGGTTCGGTAGTTAAGTATGTCAACATCCAGTTCGTGCTAGCTGAAATGAAAGGAAAAGGACTACTATTAATATCATTCAATGTTTCCTCAAAGCCTGAAGAGTTCTTTACACCTTTTTTGGGGGGCATGATTTTAAGTCATGGAAAGAGCAATAAAAAGCATCACTAAAGTCCTGTTTGATTCTCCCAATACAGTTGCACATCATAGCTTCCTCCTGGTTTATCTCCTCTTTGTTCCCAGACGTAACAGTGTGTATTTTTTTTTCTCCAATCCTTTGTTCTTCCTGCACAGGCTAACAACAGAATATCCAGGCCACTACGGTGAGGACATGGATATGATTTCCTACAATTATGATTACTACATACGGGGAGCGACAACCACTTTCTCTGCAGTGGAAAGGTGAGTAGGACAGCCCCTTCCCCAGGTATCAGGACTCAGAAGACCTAGGGAGTAACTCCAGGCAGCAATAATATCAGCAGAATTTAGATTTGTGCTTTGTTTTATTTTATTCTCTTAACTGGCCAAAGATTAAGGGAGCGCTTGGCTGGACAACTGGAGGCAGTGAAGTGGGAAATAAGCTGTTCTCGTGAACTCACCCATGGGCTCTGGCCTGCTCCAGTCCAAAAACATTTTTACTTGGCATCCTTTGATGGGCTAACATTTTCCCCCTCATGCAGTTTTGAAGAGTGCCTTTTTTTCTGAAGCATCGAGAGGAGAGGAGGGGGAAATGACAAGAAGAGATGCCACTGTCAAACTGGAGCCTCTCCATTTCTGTGTCTCTACTTGGGGTTGGAGGATGAGAGACAAGAGGTGGCGGGGGGGAATTGGAAAGAGGAAGCACTCAGAACTCACTTTTCTGATTTGGGTCTGATATGGATCCTCTTCACCGGTGCCTTAGACTGCATACCATAGAAGCAGATCTTTACTCTGTTAGACCTATCTTCAGACCATAGAAGGTCTCCCCAAGAGGCCACTGAACTTATCTGGACAATAAGATGCTGAACTTTATGCTAGGCATGTGTTTGCAAGCAATGAATCTCAACTGAACTTGAACTATGGTTATGCAACAAGGTGGAGGAATCCACCATGGGGGGAGGGGTATGGGAGGGGTGGGGGAATCCCCAGCGCCTATAAAATTGTACTACATAATACAATGTAAGCAACAATAAATAAAAAAAAAAAAAAGAAGAAGCAGTAATTCCCAGTGCTGGAGTCTGAGAAGCCTAAGGGCGGGGAGTAGTCATCAGGAGCTTGGTGAGGGCTTACTCACCGCTTCAAGAATGCATCCCCCCACAAAGCAAAGGCCAAGGCAGAGTCTTTCTTCCTCTCTCCTGGAAAAACCGATCCCACTCTGAAGCAGAACTTTCTCATGATTTGATCGCTTCTCAAAGGACCCCAATTCTTAACCTCATGGTGGTGACTTAGTTTCAACACACGGGCTAGCACAAGAATTCAGACTGCTAATCATGCTTAGAAATGAAAGGAGGGGATACATCATACTTCAATAAAGCTTGAAAAAAATTAACAAGAAAAAGGGTCCAGCAATGTGGCTTACTGGGTTAAACTGCCACGGTTGGTGTGGTATCCCATAGGATGTCTGTTCAAGTCACAACTGCTCCACTTCCAATCCTGCTCCCTGCTAATGGTCTGGGAAAAACAATGGAGGATATCCCAAGCTTTTAGCCCCTAGCTCTTGGCTACAGTTTGATCCAGTCCCAACTATTTTGGGAATTTTGTGAGTGAGGCAGCAGATGGAAGACCTCTCTCTTTATCTCTCCTTCTCTCTGTGCACCACTGTCTTTCAAATAAATAGGACAAATCTTTCTGAAAATTCAAGAATAATAAAAATATGAAAGCTCCAATAACCTACAGCTAAAGCACTTTTTTCATTTACTTTCTCTTACAATGACCACTTCTACCCCATTTCAAATCTATCCAAACAAAATGAAACAATAAAAAAAAATTCTTCAGAGATATCGTTACATGGGGTTAGTCCTTAGTTCCTCTATCAATATAGAGAAAGATGTTGGAAAATTCAGCTTCTGAAGGGTGACCTGACCTACTTTCACTCAAGTGATGATCACTTTACACAGAAGTAAATTCCTGAAAAGTTACCAGGACATGTTTTGCAAGTCAAGTAAGACTTAACCATTTGTAAAATGACCTAAGATGACCTATCTTTTCAGATGAAATCATATCTCATGTAACAGAAGTTAACCTCTTTAATATAATCTACTATTTAAAAATAGCAAAGACCCTAAGTAGTTCTAGAAAGGTACAAACAAAGTCTCAGCTTCCCAAAGCAGAAGTTGTTGTGTTTCCTCACAGAAGAAGCTCTCAGACCTCACATGTTGCTTCCTTTTATTTAAGATACATTTTAAACTAGCACTATTATCTGTCTTCTAAACGCAGTGAATTATAATGGGAATATTTCGGGGGTTTCATTACCAAAAAAAAAAAAAAAAAAAAAAGAGGGGGATGGGGAGATGGGAGGTTGGGAAGAGATAAGGGATAGAGTGCAGGGGATGAGACTCATTTTACCAATGTGAGGAAATAATTGGATGAGAAAATATATTTCAGAAAAGGAAGACTCAAGAAGTTTTAAAATGTGGTGGTCTGATCTTACTTATCCATGCTGTATTACACAAAATGCAAAAGCAAAGTAACAGTTTTACAAGGTGCTCAATGACTCTAATGATGTCACAAGCCATCTAACGATGTCCACAAGATAATTAGTCCCGCATTTCCCATTTAAGAAAAGTAAAAGAATGTCAGCTAAAATTATTGCAAAAATAAATGTGTTTTGGCAAAATGCTTGAATCCTGTTGGCTTGGAAATATTCACCTAAGTAGATTACCCAGAATCATGGAAACTAGAAACACTATGTCATGGTGTTAGATTGAAAAGGAATATTGCTTTCCCTTCCTAGGAGTAGGGTCAATATACCTATAGAGTTTTACTGCTGACACCAACAGTGGTTTACAGACCCTTCTGTCAATTGTAGTGGTTTCGTCTTGGAACAGAATTCCCCAGCCTGTGCATTACTTAACTCTAGAGCTAGATCAATCTTTGCTACAGGGTCTGTGCTCTGCATTTCACATTTTAGCCCACTCATTAGAAACCACAGATACCATGCAGACATTGATATCTAACCCCTAAAGAGCAAATTTTCCCTGGTAGAGAACTGTTGACTTGGAGAGAAACCAGTGATGGAGCCTAGTCGAACCACTTGGTCCCACTAGTGATTCATGCACAAATCTCAAAAGTCTAATATTTTTCTCCACGTACTAACTGCCTCTTACAAGAGTAATATGAATGTGACCATGCTACCTTGCTTGTCCATGTTCCAAGTTAAACAGTTAAACAAGGCTTACTTGCAGTAATTCAATTCATTTGGTAAACAGACGTACAGTCAATTTCTTAAACTACACCTAAAGCAGGCTTTGTTCTCTGTTGACAAGTGTTGGAACAGATACCTATAAAGAGGAAAAAAAAAGAAAAAAGAAAAAACCACATGGAGCTGCAGACTGAGAGTTACAGAGCCTGCTTCCGACTGTTAGAGCAGAGGACACCACCTTTCCTAAAAGAGACTGTGGTCAACTCCACATTCCATTTGGGGCCTTCTCATTCGTGGTGCTTAGGTTAACCTGAATTTGATTGAGGCCTCCCAGACTGAAAAGGGAAAAAAAAGATAATGCTGAGGTTGAAGGCCCTTGGTGTGCTTTGAAAGGCTTTACATGAACAACTGCAGAACAATCTTGATTTTGCCCTGAATCCTCCTCATAGGACTCAAGAGCTATTGTTCTGGTGATAGAGAAATAATGCGATGGAAGTGAGAGACTATGACATTAGTCACACAGGCCTGAAATTTGACATTGTCACCTGCTACTTGAATCCCCTTCTCTGAGCCTACTGCTTCACCTAATGGATGGATCATTGTGAGGATTAGCTGAGAAGACACGTAAAGCACTGAGTGCCTTGCCAGGCACCTGTGGGTGCTCAGTCAAGAGTGATTCTAAGTGATCACTCTCATTGTGAAATGCAAGCAGGCCATTAGAGTGTTGTACACGTTAGGGTCTCATTGTTTATTAGATGAATGAACAAATAGCACATCCTTGATTTTATCAAAAAATATCCCTTGACATGGACGCATAGCATGCTTTGCAAAACTGAACAACTCCATGCACTCTCATCCTCCTTCCCTCCCCCTTCAGCACAGAAGCAACACCATTTCTGTGATGCAGAGGTGGCATCCTCACATGAGGTGGCTCTGGGGTTGCTTCCCCTTGCTTCATTTCTCCATGATTGCTTTCTGATGGGAAACACATAGCAGTATAGCATGGAGACTTAAATAGGCTTGTACTCGGCAAAAGAGGGAGAAGTGTCTAAAGACAGTTCCTTACAAATGAAACAGCCAAGTGCTTTTACTCCCAACGGTTGATCTGCAGGTGCTCGAGATACCTTGTGGAGACAGCAGTGGTGAGCAGAGCTATAAAGAGGAGCTCCCTGTCCATGCTTAGCCAGAGGCCTAACTGCACCCCTTCAGGGGGAAACCCGATTTCACAGGTTGTCGGTTCTCTGGAGACTTCACAAAGACATCTTCTAAGAGCCTATGCAGCCTGTGTTCCCTTTGAGCTCTTGGTTTCTCCAGCTAACACCATGCTTCACCGGGCAGTGTTCTTCCTACCTCTGACTCTCTCCCTCACCTCCTTCACAGGGATCGCCAGTGGAAGTTCATCATGTGCCGGATGACCGATTATGACTGCGAGTTTGAAAATGTGTAGGCATGCCACATCTCAAATCTGGTTGAAGGGAAAGGGTCCAGAAGCCCTGAGGGTGCCCACATATGTTCACATCAATTGGATCTCCGGTAGCTGTTTTTGCTGCTCTCTTCTTCCTGAGCTGGTGACTCTGGTGCCAGCTCCCTGGGTCTTTCTGTCTAATATCACATGGGTAATTAAATCCACAATTAAATCATGCTTCTCACTTTCAACACAACTCCTAAGCTGCCATTCTCTATGACTGACCGATGGCTTCCTTGCATACCACAAATATAGCATGGACATTTACTGCTTGCCTCCTGGAACACCTGCCACAGCCTGGCTTTTATAACAAAATGGCTGCACATTCAATGGAGGGCAGGGGTAGAGGTCAAGGAAAGAAGTGTGAAGATTAACCACAGCCACATCTGTCTAGACACTGTGGCTCCTCCCCAAGAGCAGTTTCTGCCCTCAAGGCATGCCAGCTTGGTTCATCTTTGCACAAATGCCCACAAGCCAAACTACAGAGCTCTGCACTCCAGCAGTGAGGGGACTGGGATTGGAAATGGGATGATGGAAGTTTGGGGACAGAGGTGAAACATTTGAGAGAGTATCGGAACTAGATGCTAAATGTTAGCGTATTCACAAATGAAAAAGAATGCAGGGGCCAGGGACACATGTTAGAGTAAGTCTCAAGTATGACACAATCAAACAAAAATGGAATTGAGACTTGGAGGGCTTGAGAGTGGCTAATTTGAGCAGAAAAAATGGACAAAGGAATTTGAATTGCTGGTACCTGGAGACAAGCTCAGGATACCTGTGAAAGCTGGACTATGCTCAGTGGCCATGGAGAGCTACTGCAAGCTCACCTGGAAAGGTTGCCCTGGATAGGTGCCGATGTGTGGCTCTGGGGTGTCTTCCATGGCAGCAGTACCATCCTGTGGTGTTCTTGTCCCCATTGCTTTGTACTGTCTTGCTCATAAAATGAATAAAAGTATTATCAATTACTATACTGCTAATGTTATGTCTTAGTTTTTTTTCTCTACCCATGCAATTCCAGGTCATTTATACATTCATTCCAAAAACAGGGCTTAGCATTGTGGTTTGTGTCCCACACCAGGCAAGGCATGAGAAACACAACAATAGATCTCTGTGCAGTAGTCTAGCAGCCAAAGTCCTCGCCAGAATCCCATATGGGTGCTTCTATGCAGCTCCCTGGTTTTGGCCTGGGCAGGCGGTAGAGGATGACCCAAGGCCTTGGAACTCTGCACCTGCATGGGAGACCCAGAGTTGGTGCCGGCCTTCTGACTTCGGATTGGCTCAGCTCCAGCCATTGAGACCACTTGCGAAGTAAATCAACTGATGGAAGATCTTCCTCTCTGTCTTTCCTCCTCTCTGTATATCTGATTTTCCAGTAGAGATAAAATAAATCTTAAAAAAAAAAAAGAGAAAGAAATACAATGGTAACAATGACAGAGTGTACTCAAAGATTTAGACAATACAGTCATTAAGTGGTAAATGTTGTATTTTAATGACTGGCTAAAGGCATGGAAACACGTTCCTTTGTGTTTCAGTCCTCTATGCCCCAACACCAGGTGCATTTTTAACTACAGAAAGGCCCATATGCTTTGACTGCAGTTTGCCTTGTCCTTTATGATCTGTGTTGACCTCCCTGAAGCCTCTCCAGGGAAACAAGGAGAGGAGACAAACAACAAAAACCACAGAAGTCATTGCGATGTGACTTGTCTCTTCTAGGAGGTCAGCGGTGACAAATCTCAGCCATAAGACACCATTTCCCAACAGCAAAATCCCAGCACTGTGTGTGGGTGGAGGCAGAGTAGAGGGTGCCTCCTGTGTCTTCATTCTAAAGCCATTTTTCATATTGTGGTTTTGCTTTCATTCCCCCATTTCATTGTTTCTGCCTCTCTGGCAATTTTCATTTATAATGAGAAGCTGCCCAGTTATATTTTTCACAAAGATACCCATTAATATTTTAGCAGCTGCAATGCTGGTTCAGAACAGCAGCCAGGGAAAGGCCTTCTTTGGGTGTGTGTTGCACAGCTGGAAGGAAGACAAACAGTACAGATTGGCTGGCCCGGCAAGGAGGATGCAAACAAAAAGCAGGTGAGAAGATGTGATGGGGAGACTGGAAGGAGCTGAAGAGGAGACTTGAAAAGAACATAAGCCAAGGGAAACAACGGTGTATCAGTGCAACGAGAAAGATGTGGATAGGATTGAAACTTTGCTATTTTCATCATAAATTAATCACAAGGTCAGGAAAGACATTGTCAATGTGGATTACTTGGATAAGTACTAAAGGTCAGTCAGCAAGAACTAAGTACCAAACAGGGACTCAATCCCTGTTCTTCTGATGATAGTGCTTATACTTTATAATCTTTCTCTTATTCCATAGCCTCGATCAAGTCACCTCTTGTTCCTAGGTCTAAGTAAGATAAGATATGTATGTCGGTATTTCTTGTAGTTTTGTTCTGTTTTCTTTGGTTTTGTTTGCAATCCTAGGACTCAATTTTCCCTGAATTGTTTATAAAGGGGTTTGCTGAGAATTTTTTTTTCCAGAGTATGAACCTGTCATTGCAGTTGAAGATGTAGGTAGGTCCTGTCCCAGCTCTGAGAGAAGGTATCTGTGTGATGTTAAAGTGTCCACAGGTCGTCATCTCCTTGTATAGACAGAAGTCCCTTTCCCAACATCCACATTATATGATGGTCGCACTAAACAGGATAATGACAAAAAGAGAGATGCAGAGATGCAATTTGTCCCTCTCAGGACCTATAATCTAATGGCAAGACAAAAAGAAAAAAAAAAAAAAAAAGGAAAGCTGAGTGCTGACAAATTCCCTCAGAAAACCAAGGCTTAGCCTGCAGAGAAGGGCTCCCCCCAGCTGAAGGCAACTGTCTAGGTTGCCTTGTACCTAAGCAAGTATTATACTGCCGGGAGAAAAGCAGCCAGTAGCAGTAGCTGGCAGGAATTCTGGATCTGGTGAATGCCAAATTTGTGTCAACTATACCAGTATGCCAACGTAATTGCCTACTTTTTTTTTTAGATCTGTGGGGAAGGTGGCCCCTGGCACACAGTAGCTAATGGCTAAAGTCCTCGACTTGCACACACTGGGATCCCATGTGGACACTGGTTCTTTTCCCGGTTGCCCTGCTTTCCATCTAGCTTCCTGCTTGTTACCTTGGAAAGCAGTAGAGGATGGCTCAAAACTTTGGGACCCTGCACTTGAGAAACCTAGAGGAGTCTCCTGGCTTCAGATTGGCTCAGCTCTGGCTGTTGTGGCCAATTGGGGAGTGAACCAGTGGATGAATATCTTCCTATGTCTCACCTTCTTTCTGTATATTTGACTTTCCAATAAAAATAAATAAATCTTTGTTTAAGATTTTAAAAAGACATGTTGCAAAGGCAGGAACAATAGCTTGGGACAAGTCATCCCAACTCCCACGTGGTGGGGCTACAGGTTGCCTGAGAAGGAGGTCTGGAGACATATCAGAGTAAGAGCAGCTGGGGGCATCTTTGACAGGAGAGAAATATCTTCTGGAGTTTTCCACCTGAGATGGAATGGTTTAGAGAAGAGAACCAAAGGACATATCTGGGTCAAGTCAAGTCATCCACTCATTTGGAAGACCTGGATTGGGCTAAATTACATCCCTTGCTACTCATTGGCCCATACAAAAGCTGGGGTTGAGTAGTAAGCCTGGCTAACCTAGGCCACAGGATTTCCCCACAAGTATTGGAGCAGAAGATAGGCCATGTCAGATAGGTGTACAGACCCCACCAGGACATAAGAGAACTGGATCTTGAAGGCAGATTCTGTAGGTGACTTGTCGGCTCACCTCTGTGGAACTGCAGTACTCACCTGTTTGCATGAAGAGCTAGGGCTGAGAAGTGATGGAAAGGGCCAGACTGGAACACAGAATTCACCTGACACTTATAGAAACCAGGGCTGAGAGAGACACCAGGTTGAGTCAGTACCTGCACAGCATATGCAAAGGCTAGGACTGAGGGCAGACCATGCTAAGCAGAGATATGATACCTGCCAGTCACATGAGTTCTGGGGCTGGGAGCTGACCCAATAGGGAAACTTAGGGAACTATCCTGCTATGCTGCAACTCTTGCTAAAGAGCACAGTAGCCAGGGCTGAGGGTGGGCCAGGACAGACAAATGTGTCTGTCCAGGTCAGCAAATGTGTGGTCCAGGTCTTAGGGCAGGCTCTGGTGAGTGCAAGAGCCAGGGTTGGGGATGGACCAGGTTAGCAAGGCCATAGCACCCATAGGCATGTGTGTAGGAAAGGTTTGGGAGCAGGCATGACTGGGCTAGGCTTCGGCACCTACTGGCACTCATGAGAGCCAAAATAAGTATGCGATAGGGTGAGTTAGCCTGTGTCACACACTGATTTACATAAGAGTCAAGTCTAGGGGTGGGCCATAATGGGCTTGGCTGTAACCTCCACCAGCAAGAGCTGGAATGGATGCAGGCCAATTGATATAGGTTGCAGTACACACCAGTGAGTGTCAGGACTTGGGGCCAGCCATATGAAGGTGAGTAGTATCACCCACCAGAACACATGAGACCCTAGGCTGGAAGTGGACCTGATAGAGGAACTTGGGGAACTTCCTTGCTAGGCTATGGCTGCTATTGGTGAACACAGAGGCAGGGCTAGGGGAAAACCAGCCCTGCCCAAACTGATGCACCCATGGATATAAGTATGAGCCAGGTTTGGGGAATAGGCTAACTAGGCCAGTTCCAGCACAAGCTGGAGCCAAGATGGGGCATAAGCCATACTCTCCTGAGAGAAGTAGGCCTGGATGCAGTCTGGGCTGAGTCAGCCTGTAGTACCTGCTGGTGATTGCTGAGCCTGGGAGCAAGCCATCTCAGACCAGGTTGCAACATGGGCTGGCACATGCAAGACCCGTGTTTGGGAATAAGTCTGGTAGGGGAACTTCAGAGACTCCCCTCCTGTGCCACTGCTTCTACTGTGTGTGGGCTGGTCTAGAGGCAGGCCAGGACGGGTTAGACTGTCAAACACAATGACATAAGAGTCAGAATGAATGTAGGCACATCCTGGCTAGGTCACAGCATTTGTTGGCAAGTTCCAGCACGTGGTGCAAGTCATGGAAGGCTTGACTGCAGCACATCCTGGCATGTACAAGATCTAGGGCTAGAAGCAGACCTGCCAGGGTGATTGTGGACACTATCCTGCTGGGCTGCAGCTCCTGCAAGTGAGTGTGAGAATCAGGGATAGGAGGCTAGGCTGGTCAAGGCCACGGCACCCATGGGCATATGTGTGGTGGAGGGCCTGCATGAACTATGCTGCAAAACTCATGGGTGTGTACAAGAGCCAGATGGGATGTAAGATGGACCTCGCTAGGCTGTAGCACTTGCAGACACATGAGCAAACAGGAAATGGGGGCAGGTCTGGTGGGGATTACTAGGGTTTCCCTGAAAACTGAGCCTGTTGCAGGCTGCATTGGGCCAGGCTAGGCCACAGCACCCATCAGTTCATGTGAGAGACGGGCCTGGGGGTTGAACTGACAAGGCAGCTACATCCACCGGTATGTACATTAGCTGGCACAGGTGATGGACTGAACCTGACCCTACACTGATTGCCACACACAAAATTCAAGTCTAAGGTTTCTTGGGGATTCAAACCCTGGCCACAATACACAGATGCACACGGGGGGACATGATGCACAGCTCATCTAGGCCAGCAAAGGACAGAGAACGCCTTGGTAGATGGAAAGCACCAGAGGTTTCACTGCTCTGCTGGCCAACCTCTGCAGCATGTTCCTAGCTAGGCCTGTAGATGCACTGAGGTGAACTTGTTCAGCCAATAGATGTTGGGAAGATTTTCTCAACCCTTACGTAATGAAGCTGACAATGCCCCAGAGCTATCAAAACCATTCAATAACACCCTCAGAACATTCTTCTGCACATCGAGGTCTCTAAGATGTCAACAATGACGGTCGCCCATTCCTGGGTGCTGATGT